GGGGCGGGGGGGGGACGCTTCCCACAGGCCCGAGCACAGCAGCAGCAGCGCGAGGCTGATGTTGTCACAGCATCCGTACCAAAATACAGTATGCGTGCTGACACACACCTCTCTAATGCCTAATATATTCTCCCTGTCTGCCGTTTGCTGCTATTTGCAGCAGCTGCTGGCCGGAGAGCGGCTCATTCTTCAGGCTCAGCTTGTTTCCGGTCAGTTTTGACACTAGACCGAAGTGCTTTTAACTCCTTGTCGCTGGGAGGTTCCCCTCTTGTAGGCGGCTCTTCAAAGAAGGATAAAGAAGGGAGCCCCATATGCAACAGAGGCTTCTCAGAGTTATCACAACAGGTCACGACGTGGCTCCTGGTGCAGTTTCACAACCAGCGCTGAGCTCAGTTCCTCAGGCTTCCAAAACTGCTTCCTGGGGTATCAACTCATAGACCCGACCCTCCTGGCCCTCATCCCCCCAAAAATGCAGGGGAAAGCTTCAGTTATTGATAAAACTAAATTTCTACCAGCGTATGAATTCTTTGAACCCTTCTGGATTAAAAAACCCAGGGGGGTATCTGTTCCCTCCCCCCTCCCCTTACCAACAGGATAGAAAAATGTGTTGTTATACATAAGACAATTTAGGGAAACAACTGAATAGATGGAAGGTTCAAGCTAATAAAAGTTAATTCCAAACAGGCCAGGGACAGCGTAGGACAAGGAAGGTGGTGTGGGACCTCACACCCCCAGAAACCTGGGACACCTGCAGCCTTAATCTGCTGCTGCATGAGCAAAGTAATCAGCAGAAAAAGGTGAGAAAATGAAGACCTTGGGGTTTATGTTCACTTACATTGTTTCAGAGCTGGGCTTGGTGTTTCTGGGAGGCAGGCTGGGAGCTGCTGGGGACTGCAGGGATGGGTGAGAGGCTGGGGGAGGAGGTGGCAACTGCATAGCAGAGTGTGGTGGAGGTACAGGTGGGGAGAGTGCTGCTGAGAAAGGTGCTATCTGTTTCAAACCTTCATTTTTAGGGCCTGGAAAAAAGCAGAACAGACTGAATTTATCAAGCAAACAGCTGAGGAAGGAACCTCACTGTTTACATGAAGTATTAGGACAAAATATCAGTACTTCACACACCCCAGAGCAAATATATTTTGTTGAACCTGCTTCTTAGATATATTTGGTGCCTTATTTTACCAGAGTAGAGAGGCTCTGCCTAGAAGAACGTACTGCCTATAGAAGGCCTTGAAAATGTCTTTGCAAAGATATGAACAAGACACAAAAACATCAGTTCATCCAGTATATAAGTTCTTGTGCTTTAAAACTAAATTATCATTTAATTCTAGAATTTGCTTGAAAAGACCAGCTGCAGAGTTTCACACAAGCACTGATGCAGTCTTGCTGGAGTTTTCTTGCTCAGACACAGAGTTTTAGGGGGAGGGATGAGAGATGAAAAGATATTTTGGCATTGATTAAGAGGTGTACGGGTCTCTGTACATCTTCAAATACATTTGTAATGTGAGTTGTAAAAGGCTGGACTTAATTTTCTAGCAAGCCCATAGTAGAAAAGTGGCAGTTTGAGAAACTGCACAGAAGCTACACCCTCAACAGACAGGCACAGCCTTAAAAACAAGATGGTGCCATGCACCAGGCACAGAAGCCATAATTACATGAGTGAGGTGGTGTGCATGTGTGCTGCACTGAATTCATGCTCCAGGTATAAGCCACAACCAAACCATAGTAAACATTGCTTTGAGAGTTCACGCTGTGAGAAGTTATTCAATACAACCAAATGAAATCACTGTTTGGATGTCATGATGTAGAATTTTGTTTCAAGTATCATGAGTGGATTACAAGCTACCCAGAAAGAATTGTCCCCAGCTGTATGGAGGGAAGTCCAACAAAATCTAAGGAAGAGGAAAGCAGAAGAAAAAATCAAATTCACAATTCAGTTAAAACCAATTACAGTCGAAAAGAACACCCTTGTCTTCTGGAGATTTTCTTCAAGTTCACACCTGTATAGTGGAGATTAAAATCTTGTCAAGAAAAAGAAACTTTCACTGCATTGGAAAAAAAGTGGCTTAAACACAGAACAACGACAAATATTTAGTAATGCTTAAAGTTACAAAAACTATTGAAAGAGTTTTCTTTAGCTGCTTGGGAGTCTGAAATTCTGTTCTTGGGATAGACAGGAGAAGGGGAATCGATAACTATTAGAAGGACCTCTCATGTCATACAGAAATCAAAGCAAAATTACCAAGCCTTGACAGTTTTTCTGCTTACTAGCAAAGAACTCAAAAATTTTGGGATAAATTGGGCTTCATGGCTGCTTGGAGCAACTTGTCAATGTATGTGTCATCAACAGTGCATTTGAAACCTGTTAAGTTCCTCCATTACTTAAACAGCAAAGTACTAAAAGTCCCAATACTGCTGATTACACAGGTGAATTCTTTGGTTTTTTTGTTAAGGAATATTCATCTTGCAAAAGAAGACCCTTACAATTTAAGATATGCCAAGATTAAAGTTGTACGGTATCACATATCTTGTTATTCGCATATCTTTTTATTATTTTATTAAAAAGTATAGCCCAAAAGTCAAGTGAAATAATCCTTTCACTTAGTACTGAGGAGGCTACAGCAGGGTTAATGTGTGCCAGCTGGAGAGAGCCCAAAGGAGAAGAGTGAGAATGATTAGAGGTCTAGAAAACATGAATTCCTCAATATCTCCATGAATGGAGATACTGATGTTCACCATGGAGATACTGCAGTTCACCATGAATGGAGATATTGAACAAATGGTGGTTATTTAGGGAAATATAAGACTGAGGGAGAACAAAATGAATACCTAAGTCTCTGGCAAAGAAGAAAGGGATAATTTTTTTTTTTTTCCTTCATTTCCATGGTGGAGAAGGCAAGAAGTAATGTGTTTAAGGCCAGCAACATTTGTTGGGAGACACTTTCTCATAGTGAAGGTGGAATTCCCATGGCTTGAGGTCCATGTTGAAGAAGTAGGATAAACTTATGGCACGAATAAGTTCTAGTACAATTGTTCTTACCCTACGCATAGGGATGGACCAAACAACTTCTTTATGTCCCTTCCAATTCAATGATGGCACTGTCTGTTTGTAGTCCTATATTTTACAATACATCACATTTAAAATACTTGCCCCTATATTGAACCCAACAGCTGGAGATCTACTAAAATGTCATTTTGGCTAAAACTTGTCTTCCAGAAAGGTGTCCCACTTGTTTGAAGACAAGAGAAAGAATGTACCACTACACTGTTTGTTTGGTTAAGTTCACTCACTGTTAAAATCTGCATCTTATTGTTTTCTAAGTTCACCAGGCTTCAGGTTCTATTACTTTTATTTCTACCTTTGCATACTAGATCAAAAACCTTTTTATAACCATTGTTTTTTACGCATAAGGTATTGATACCACTGAGCTTAACCAATATTTCAGATTTCTTTTTGATAACTTTAAAGACACAACCTTTTTAATCTCATCTCAAGGCATTTTTTTTCCATCTAGCAAATAATTTGTAGCTATTTCTGTAATCTTTCCAACTTTTCAGTGTTATAAAAAATCTGGCACTGGAATTCTACACAGCATGCACTTGTCTGCCACATGCAGTGATGAAAATTACAAGTTGTTCTTCATCGGGCCATATCTCTACTGATTGCATCCAGGGGGTTTCAGTATTTTCTCCGATTGTCATCCCTCCTCCTGTTTTGGAAGTGCAGGCACCTGAATATCAAACTAAGGCCCATTAGCAAAAAGCTTTTATTGAAAAACTGTGTAACTATATGAAGATTCCTTAAGGGTAAAACCCCAAGAATTTAGGGTTACAGGCTGACAACCATTATGCATTAGACTTTTCTGTCACATCATTGTCCTTACTCAACTGTAGAGTTGTTTGTGATGTCTAGATTTTTTCCCACAGCATTACACTACCTTGTTTCGCAGGTATGGTTTACATTTCTTCATTCTACATGTATATTTGCATTTGAGTAAAGACAAACTCTGTTTAAATGATCCAAGATTATACATGATTGTGCTCTTGTTGTATCTGAGTCTCTGAGGACTGTGTTCACATTTAACTCTTCATAGTCTTTGTTCATCCCCAGACTTTGTCAGCTATAATCTCTTACTGTTCTAAAATCCCTGATAAAGATGAATAGCACTGACAATCTAAGGAAGTATCTGCAGTTGAATTCTTTTAAGCAGATTCTAACCAAATAAAGAAGCCAGAAAGGTTTTTTTCATAAAAGCCATGTTAATTGGTATTAATTATACTCTCAAATTTTTGTGTTTTAACAGGGAATCCTATATAAGTTTTTCCGTGGTTATGTTTATTTTGCTCTAATATGTCGGGCATATATAGTGTATATGCACAACATGCGTACATGCATTATATTATCATACAGTGCTACTTCATTGTGATTAGTTTGTAGGACTAAGGTAAAAATTTTGCCCAAGTCTCTGTGCATAATACTTCTTTCATCTGATGTCTTTTGGGAGCCAAATCCAGGCAATAGGAAACTGAGCCAGGAAAGGACACCACATGCATTTTAGATTAAGTGCTGATTTTTAAATATAAGGCCTGAACAACCTGTCCCTTTTAATTTATGTACATTGCTGGAATCTAACAATAACTAAATGATCATCATATTAATGGTAACACTGCTTTTTTTATTTTCTAACTATTTGAACTGACTCTTCCCTGCCTTTAGAATTGTAATTAGCTACACTTACACTGACTGAGACCGATGTGGGTGTGAACTGCTTTAATTGTAATACTGAAAATAATGGGATGAGTTAGGTAGGAAGGTGATATTCAGTATGAAAAAGCTGTTATAATCAGGCCCACAGAGCCAAAGCTATCATAATGTTTCAGTAGTGGGTTTTTTTTCCCCTATTTTAATGGAGCATTTCATTTTGACTCCAGTTCCATCTTTTTGTGTCTCTGAGACACTTGGTACTCTGAGGACACAGAAAGGCTCTGTACTGCTAGTGGAACTGAAGTCAGCTCTGGATACTCAGAACAAGAAATCAGACTGAAACTACATCCTGGCTTCACGTGCACCCAAAGCACTCTCATCTGGGCCATCACTGTGTGGTAGCTTTGACCACTAACACCTCAGTTTCCAAATAGCATCTTGTCTCTTCTTGGGACTCTCAGCTTTTTCACATGCTGTGCCCCACTGAAGAAACAGATGCAGAAACTGAAGCTCTTCACGAAGAAATGAAAGAACAGATAAAAAGGAACGAGTTCCTCAAAACCTGTGCAGCTGTATAGTGGCTAAGAGAAACTTGCCATAGAAACTGTCCATAGAAAGTACTAAATAGCCCATTCCACTGCTGCTTGTGGTATTAAACTTCTTTAATGATGCCTAGAGCTTCAGCACTTACAGCAGCACTGCACACGGAACACTGCAAGCACTTCTCTTATGTTCTTGGGGGACCTTCTCAAACAACTTCCATACGTGCAGCGACCAAAAGGTCATCTACATTCTTGGAGAATGTTTATTTATCAGGAAGTTCAGGACACTGAAGTTGTCTTGATGTAAAACTTGTGACTTTGACCCTTGCCATTCCTGGCTTGTGAAAAGGAAATAATACCTCTTTGGTAGCTAACATAACATCTAGAGAAATGTCACATCTTCCCTTCATGTCCAGATATTCTGTGTTCAACAACCTCAGGAGAAATCAACCTGCGTATGACAGTGGTCTATAATTTCCATGCTTCTCCTCTGTGAACTCAAAAAGAAACTACTAAAAAACCCAAAATAAGTCCAGCTTTTTGGAACCCATGTACTCAAAATGTAGTCAAAAGCAAGTTTCAGGGCAGGATGAGAAAAAGATATCCATTCTCACCTTGTCGTGAGAATCTTCGGTGCTGTCCTGAGGTGCTAATACCAGAAATATGTGGCAAACTGAAGGGAAATCCCAGCAGCACCTGGAGTCCTTATTGGAGTAACACATACAACAAGCAGTACTTGGTGGGATAGAAATCTGATGGGAACCAGTACTTT